TCAGAGTGATTCACTGCCATAACGTGTAATTTTCTTTTTACCCTCTAAAAAAAATCAATGTTCTGGCCAAATTAGATTTGAGGATATTTGGGTAACGATCATATTTAGTTTTGTGATAAAGTAATACTTTAATCCCACAGATCGATTGCCTATTTTGCGTCGATTCAATTCTGTATTCATATTTGAAATTGCTACTGGTGTGCACACGATGGAAGGAAATAGAGGGCTTAAATGGACTCGAATAATTTCGCTTAAATAAATTGACATTCTCTTATTTCCAATAAATATGATTGACATGGCATATCTTCCATTTGTTCTGCCGTCAGTTATTGTCCAGATGGTTAATCAAGTCTAGAAAACATCTGGTTTTCTCGTAGTTATTACACAGTTGATTCATTTCATAGATACAAGGTCAGTTTTATTATTGATTTGGTTTTAAGCTACCGAGGCGTGGATCAATCCATGCATTAATGGTTATTTGTCTTAAGATCTGTGTTTCTGTTCGACCATATTGTTCAATACTCAAGGACTTTGGTCATCACCTCGGCATGAAAACTGACGAAAAAAGGAACACAGCTCTTCCCTATGTCTTATAACAACAGCCATCAAAATTGCAATGGGGAACATTCAAGACAATCAAACAAAATGAAGTATATCAGGATGGTATTACCCACTGCTGGGAAAGCAGTACAATCCTGAGGTTAAATGAAGATTTAAAATGAATTGAAATTAATATCAAATAAATCATTTCAATGTCCAGCAATGTGTAGGGTCCACAATCTCCTTCTCAAAGAGGGAGGTCAGATGGGAATGGTTAGCACGTGTGTACTGTATCATAAGGTCAGTCATTGAGTCAACTGGTATGGCTTTTTCCCCGGTTGTACGTGACAAGGAGTAGGGTCATCTTTCCAACCTCTTGGGTTTTCTCTGTGTCCTCCGGTTTCCTCCCACTGCTAAATGCCCCTACACACAAACAAATTATTGAAATAAAATTGAATCATACGTTAGTCCCGAAATGACCTAGTTTGTGCTGAGTGGACGTTAATCCCATTTCTCTCTCTCCTCTTCTCTCTCTCTCTCTCTCTCTCTCTCTCTCTAAGAATACAATGGAATACAGTAAGCTATAGATGGCTTTACTTCAAGGAAAGATTCAACATATCAATTAATAACATTTCTATAACTAATTCAGACCCTTCAGATCCCTTCAAATTGTCCACTTGGGTATATTTATGTGCTATTATCATCCTCATTCTCAGATATTCAATGGGCCATTAGAACTTGCTGAGTCTTAAAATCCCATCAAATTTATTTTATTTTCTGTCTGTTTGCTGAAGAGTTAATCATGTTTTGGAAACATCTGGTCCGAGAGGCGCTATTATTCGATCCTTCCATTAGTTTGGTATAGTGTTATGGCTGGACGACCGTGATTACTAGTCCTTACTCCATTACATTACATCACATCACATGATTGATCAACCCTCTTCAATCTTTTACCCGTCTGCTCTCTGCGTCTGGCTCAAATTCTCAGGAATTTATTGAAGCAGAAGGCTAATTTAGCAAAAATAAAGAACTTGGCATTTATGTCTAAAATTAGGAAAAGGAAATAACGAAAACGGGCGATTTTGAAGACATGCGTACAACTGGGGTTGTGGTTTAAAAGGCAATTGGACTTGCTAAACAGGAGCCATTTTATCGTTAATTGTCACAACTTTTTCAAAGTTTGCTTCAAGGGGTCTTATGTGAAGGTTTAGCGTTAATGACACTTGTTTCGTGACAAACTACGCAGAAGTTAAATAAAGTTGACATCTTGCTACTTGTCTCAGTGTTAAAATTAATTCGTTCATCTGATTTCTCGGAGCTGAAGTGGATTTCGTGGAGATTTTTGCGACTGATTAGGAAATGGATGTCAGCTCAGCAGACGCTAGTTCCTCTCCAATACAACATCTTCATCAATGTAATAATACTTAATGCAATTACCATGACGACTGGATTATACATAGCTTTACTAAGACATCTTTAAATGACAATATCGTCCCAGGAGTGACATTACGGGACTTAAAATATTTTGGGCTTAAGGGAAAATTCCCAATCCGTAATCGTCGTTTATACAGAAATTATCCCTTAATGGACGAGACGATGAAAGGATTTATTAAATGGAACGTACTTGGTTTTGAATTCAAGGTTCATGCGAAGAGTTTGTTGCCATGACACAATGTAATATCTGATATTCAAACTATTCCTAATAGAAAACAAAATCAAAGTTAATAACTGAAATAAAAGTAGGTGCACTTGGAAGAGTGGAGATAGAACCCCATTTCTCTAGCTTCACTGACTGTTTTCCTAATTTTAATGAGGGAAAGACTTCACTATACTGCGGGGTTGGATGGCCGATTGGTTAGCACGTGCGCATTGTATCATAAGGTCTGTCATTGAGTCAACTGACCTGTTTTCGATTTCCAAGCTGTATGTGACGAGTAGGTCGCCTGTTAATCCTTGTGGGTTTTCTCCAGTTCCCTCCCACTACAACAGACCCCTACGCGCAAGCAAATTGTTGAAATAAAATTGAACCATATGTTAGTCCCGAAATTACCTAGTTTGTGTCAATTGGAGGTTAAGCCCCATGTCTCTCTTTCTCTCTCTCTCTTTCTTTCTCTCTTTCTCTCTCTCTCTCTCTCTCTCTCTCTCTCTCAACATGGAGTTAAAAAAATATTATATTATGGTCATCTACATACTTATTGAATATTAAAAAACCCATACATTTCTCAAATACAATGTCAGAAAACTTATAATCCTAAAAGTGGTTGGCTATCGAAATGTGTGTTTACAGTAAATGATGTTATAGAGGACACACAACAGGTATTATTCAAGAACATTGAAAATACTGGAGCCGAAATTGTTAATGTTTCTATATTAATATGCAGTAACCTGAAGGTCCCCTGTTCGATTCCTGCGTTGGTTTAGAAAGTTCATCGGGATTTTCCACCGTGATTCCACCTTGTCCATGGTGTAGAGACAATGTATAGTCGTTTGGATTAGACGAAAAACTGAGGCCCCATGTACACATTGGCATACACGTAAAAGAACCCTTGACAGTTAGTATTCAAAATAAGAGTAGGCCATGGTGCCGCTGTTCAGGCAAAATTTGCCTCATAGTACACTGCCCGTCTTCATTATCCTAGTCGGAACAGAACAGTAGGATCTTAATCCACATTTCATTTCTAAATTAATATATATTTACCTAGTACCATTAAATTCTGATTTTTATCGATACACTTATAGTTACTTTAAAAAGCTGACTGGTGATTACGGAGCTAAATCTCTAACTCAATATTTTCCATAATATTCGAAATTAAAAACACGAATTAGAAATCAATATTGATCAATTTCAATCAATATTGATGTTGTTATCTTGCCGTGAAACTATGGGATCCTAATATCCAATATTTAAGACACAATTAACTTTTTATAATCAGTACACCCTATGGTATCGAGTGCTATTTTGTAATGAACAAATAAAAGCGTGTCCTACAATTAGTAAAGGCTGATTCACGAACGACAAAATAATAATTTTAAAAAAACGTGTGGAATGCACTAATTTAAGCAGGCGTTTAACATCTGCCATTTAATTTGAACTGTTCACATATTTCACATAATTGATTAGAAATTACAATATTTTTTTCAAAAATTGAATAAGAATCACTTTACATACATTCATATTACATTAATATGTGCTCTTAGAAACATTTTTGTCTATTTCAAGGTTAAAAAAATACAACCATATGTCCTTTAAGATTATAGTTGGAACCCTGGAGGTATTGTGTGTGTCTTTAGAATCTGTGTCCATTATAAGAAAGAATGATAGTTTTACGGTAATGATTTCGCTAACCGTCTGCATTGTGCTTTTATCCGCGATTAATACGTCGTTACATTAAGCTCCAATTCCAAGCTCTTGCTTTGAATTCTAAAATCCTGCTGTTAAGTTTTTCCTGAGCAGCACACGACAGAAGGCAGAGGTTGTGAAAGGAAGAGATTATTGTGTAATCAGGTACTTTGATCTGATGCATTTCACATTTCAAAGCTTTCAAAATGAGAATATCCATCTTTCGTTATTCAATAAAATATGATAAAAAAAACTATACAAGAAACATTTTTTTGCTGTAATTTATCATTGATCTTTGATGTGAAAACTTGACAAATCTACTGTGAAAATGGCTTCTGTTTAGAATGAGTTCTAATAGATAATAAATTGATATATTTCTTGTGACTTGTTGCTCATTGTGTAGATTTCAAACATTTTTATTTATAAAGGCCAAACTGATTTCATTTTCAGTTATTCTGGGTCTTGACAAATAAATAGTCATTTGATCAGATGAAAACTTATCAATTTGGAACTAAAACCTTTTGAAGGGTGCAACCATGTACTTTTGTGTTTTAAATTAGATATTTTCCCATTCCTGAAAAACAGAAAATCAGATTAAAGGAGCTAAATCGCTAACATTTGGGACCTAGAAATTGACAAAAGTGGGTCGCAATGCATATAATACTGTAATATGAATGTATATAAACTGATTTACATTCAATGGTTTCCGTTTTTACTCCAATTTCAAATCAGTTATGTTCGGCGAAATAAGCCAACAGTCTCAATCGAGTGCAAATTTCTAGCGTCTGATTATTCCAGTCTACATACGCCGTTCGATTTGGTGCAATGTGTCTAGCCTGGTCCCTCGAGTCTCTTTTTACAACTGGGGCTGAAGCGCATTATGGTACACGATTCGTGTACCAATGGTTAAATGTTTATGTTGTCTTAAATATTGGATATCAGAAGCCCATCTTATTCCGGTAAGATCACAACATCAATGTTGATTTAATTTGACAAGTAAATCGTGTTTTCAATGTTGAAGATTTTGGATGATACTTTAAAATCTATTTTGTACTGCTGTTGGGCAGAGTTTTTTTAATTATAAAATTAGTATTTTAATATATTTTTTTGTTTGTTCTAGTTCCAGTATGTATTGAAAAAAGAAGAAATTACAATTTGAAGGTAAGCCATGTATTCTTCATAAAAAGTTTGTTTGCTCTTTCGTCAATGTTGAGGAGCGGCTCAATCCTTTTGTCAATGTTGATGGCTCCATTTTTTCGTCAGTGTTGATGGCTCCATCCTTTCCTCAATGGTGAGGCCTCCATAAAGTAGAACTGACTGAAATATTGTGTTGAGATGTTATTTCCTTATATTTAACAGTCTTGGATGGGATTTCCAATCTGAAGATTCTAATACCAGATTGCGATTTGTTTGGATTCGTTTTAATCAAAATTGTTGCTAACCTGTTTCGTCTGAGATGTTTGTCTTAAAATGACCTCTTAAGTATTGTATTGATGAGACCATTGTATCCGATCCCGTAATAAAGAATTTGTGACCTTAAAAATGTTATAGATAAAATAATTCCAAGACTGCAATGAATAAACTCCTTACTGAAGTGTAAGTAGCGGGTGGAAGAATCCCTGGAACACTGCATGTCAATTTTATAGATATATTAAAGGCAAGAGACTAATACAAGATTCTGATTTTTCTAGTCAATCAAGCATGTCAAAAGCTTGGTGTTAGTCTCAAAATGACCTAAGTATCATAACATTCTAATTAAAACACAGATCCTATTTCGTTTTGTTTTTTTATAGTTAAAAATTTTGTCTTACTTAATTTACTACACTAGGATCTGGAAGAGTTGTTATATAACCTGCGTTCTGGTTGATGTGAGGTATTAGCCAATCAATTGGTCTGTTGAGTCGAGTTCTTATCATCTGCACACGAAACTGTGGGTAGACGTTCGCAGCGATAGAAAATAAATTAAAGGAAAAGTTGTATTTCCGAATACCCACTTGGATGTTGTTTGTAAATTAAATGGCTGACATCATTGGATCAAAAACTACTGGTATGACACCGGACATGACCTCATACCACAACCAGTAAGATCTTCGTGTAGTGGCGTCTATCAAAAGTATAAAAAAAATTCAACGAGATATAGATCTGTATTTAAATCAGATTGATCCGGTAATAAAGAATTAGTGACCTGTAATTTTTTTTTTAAATGTGTACATGTTAATAGCATATTTACTTAATGGCACCAATATTTATTAACATGATCAATATTTATAGAGAAACATTTCTTAATTTTAAAGTGTTTCACATGCTCTGTATGTTTGAATAACGTAGTTGTACAAGAGATCTCACAATAAACTTAATCGATTAGGACCTTATTACTATTTTATGTATTTGAAGAGTTCTCGGAATATAAAAAAAATGGGAATATATTTCAGTGGAAGGAATATAATTTCAGTTTTCATATAAGATTTTTCTAATAGCGATCTCATGTTATATCATATATAATTTGATATCTATGTTTGCCTTCCACGCAGGTTTACATAGTAATAAAGGAAATTGTTGAAAAAATCAGAATATTTCTGATAAATCCTTTTTTTTAAAATGACATTTAATAATCAAGCTGAAAATACACGGGATATCATTCTTTTCAAACAAAACACAGTTCTATGAAATATGATTTCTTTTTGGTTTTTATTTTACTGAGCAATATTTTTTATCATTATTAAGCATATTTTTGAGAATTTTTTTTGTATTTGTTTTTGCAAGAAAGGTATAAATAATGATGTGTCAGAGGGAATTTCTGTACTTTTCAATGGGTAGCAGTGTTTGGCTTCTGGACAGTTAAAAACTCCAAAATACAACAATTTAGAAAGATTAAGCCCAATCACAATATTGACTTTATTAATTAATGATAAGTAAATAATTAAGTTCATAATAGATGGGCTATAGAAAGCGTGACCCAATTATTACGTCAAAAACACTGCGTTCGTGTTTGATTCCTGTAGTAAAATAGTTCCATGTGTTTCCTAACAGTGACAAATATCTACATCGATTATCATGACATTTTATATACACCACTATCGGTAATTGTGTCTGTATCCGCGGACATATTTCGCTGTCAATATCGGATATCGGTAAAACCGATAGGTGTCATATCAGACCATCACTACCAATCATCCTTTGAGGTGTCAATAAATGATTGAATAGTATAAAAATGCTTGATTTCCTGCAGCGTGCACCATGTAAAAGGTTCCCTGACACCTCATTTCGAAAAAGAATGCTGGTAGGTTAATTTGCTGCTGTACGAGGAAAACTTAATTAAGATTTTTCAGGAAATAACAGCATTAACTTTTCAAACTTAAACAGTAAGATGTCTGAGAAAAATACACATTCAATAAAAGAACTGACTAACAGCAGACAAGGAAGTGTACTCGGAGACAGCGTCTAAGATTCCAGAAAATGAATGTTTAAATAGTAGCTTTTAGAGACATCCTCAAAATTGATTAAGTAATGTGTAGACTCAATCTAATTAAAACACAGATCCTATTTTGTTTCGTTTTTTATAGTTTAAAATTTCGTTTTACTTGTCTTACTACACTAGGATCTGGAAGATTTGTTATATAACCCGCATTCTGGATGATGTGAGGGATTAACCAATGAAACGGTCTGTTACGGCGAGTTTTGGGAGTGAAATGCATAACTGTGGCTAACCCACTAGAAACATCAACGTTGATTGGTTAATGAAATGTCTGATTTCATAGGGTTAAAAGTTGCTCTTATGACCCCAGGCACAACCTTCTACTACAAACAGTCAGATCTTCACGTAGTAGAGGCCATTGAAAGTGTAAAAAATCAAAACGAAATATAGATCTGTATTTTAATCCGATTGGAGTAGACTTGAATTTTATTCTTTAAGGTCATTTTAAGACTAAATGGTTCAATTTTATTTCAATAATTCGCTGGCACCTAGGGGCCTTTAACAGAGGGAGGAAACCAGAGAACCCGGAGAAAACCCATTAGGATGGACACATGACCCTACTCCTTGTCATTTACAAACTGGGAATCGAAACCACACCACTTGACTCAGTGACAGACCTTCTGATCTAAATCTCACATGTTGGACCATTCCGTCACCCAACCTCCCTTACTCTTTAAGATGCTTATTAATTTGTTTAGAAGAGCAGGTTTGAAGATGCATTTCACTCTGATCACGACAATAATAATCCTAGACTCTTTTAAAAGATGCATTATGTAAGAGCTAAATCTGCCTATTGCAGGTTTTTCTTTAGGCCTTAAATGATAAATAAACATTTATTTACATGACAAGGCCATAATCACCTCTCTAGGCCATCGAATGCTCTTGATTTTCTATGGATTCGAAAATGATTGGCAATTAATGATTTAATTAAAAAAAACAGCAGTGAGAATCGAGACTCTGCTATTCTCCCAAAAGCCCTAACTTAGCTCAGAATGAAGTAATTTGACTGAAATTTTCAACATATTCCCTTTTTATTATCTATTTTTTAACTATTATAGCGAGAATTGTCAGCTCTTTATCTAAATCTTACATAATGTATCTTTAACTTACAGAAAATCCAAGCACTGACTAACTTGAATTAACCCCTTAACACTTGGACCGACCGACACTACTGCTCCCTCGTTCATCAACAGTTAAAACGAATACATACAATTTAATTTCAACGTGCACCATGTAACTCTTTAGTCAAATCATGGCAAATCGGAAATAAATTTTGTTTACCAAGTGACCAAGAGTGCCAAAGGGTTAATGTCCCTTTAATATAGAAGATTATTGATATTTTAGGTGGCTTTTTAAGTAACGACGAAACTTTAGAGAATTAATTACAAAAAGATGATTACATGAACTATTTATCCGATTTCAAAGTCCATTTATCGACGAAAGTTCTCGAGATTTATTGGCAGAAATTACGGACATATAAATATACTGAACTGACAATTCCATTGATTGGTTTCCCCTCTTCATTTAAACTAGCCCTGAACAAACTCTTAGTGTATTTGCTGAGACAGAAAATTACAGTATGGCGTATGAAGACACTCGAAGCGAACAGGAAAGTGAATGTTTTGAGAGGATGTGGGTTGATACACTTGAATTAATTGTGATTGTACGAAAAGTTTCAGCCTGACGTCAAACTATGATAGATGGTAATTTAACATTTAATGGGGTTTAACGTCCTACTGTTCTGCTCTGACTAGGTTAATGAAGATGGCATACAGTTGCTATGAGGGAATTTGGCCCGGCAGCGACACTACAGCCTACTGTTATTTTGAATTCCAACTGTCAAGGGACCAGTGCCAAAGTTCCATACATGCAAGTGAATAATTGAATTAAAATTGTGTCATATGTTAGTCTCGAAATGATCTGTTTGTGTTGAGTGCAATTTAAACCCTATTTCCACTATCTCTCTTGTAATGTTGCAAGAAGTTTTTCTTTTATCATTCCATAAAGAACATATTCCCGAAGCAATGGACCAAGAAATCCCTCTCTGGCCATTGCTGGATTGGCTTCTGATACTTGAGCTTTTGAGGGAGTGTGTCTATTCTTCCCGTTCAATCAAATCTATCCCAAGTACAGCAACATGACAGCCCTTTGTTCAATCTGAGGTCTTCCCTAAAAATTTGGACAGTGATTTAAGGTATTGAAAACGGTGAAAGTATTGTTTATCTCCAAACAGTATTGTTTACATTGTGTCCGTGTTGATAGCCTCATTTGTCACGCAATTAGTTTTTCTGAAATATTCTGCTATGCACTGGTTAATTAAGCATAATAAAATCGTGAGTCATGACGTAATGTTATGTAAACATATTTGGTCCAATTTGGAGGTCTGTTTAAAACGTAATGATATTGTTGTGCACTTAGTTATTGGTTGTTAATCGGACTATTGACCAGTCATAATTTAGAACAAAAATTTGCTTCCATTGCAGCAGTGTTAAGTGGGATTAGCTCTAATCAAACGATTCGATCCCTGCATTGGCCGAGAAAGTTCCATCTGGATTTTCCGACGTGGTTTCCTCTTGTCAGTGGTGCAGAACGGAGGGCCTGACAAGGACAGCTGTCTAGTCCTACGGATGAGACGAAAAACCAAGGTCCCGTGTATACATTGGAATGCACGTAAAAGATCCCTTGG